ATAGCACGGGACTGGTCGCCCAATGAGTGAAAATTTAAGGCACGATCATGGAATAGGACGAGTGTAACACAAGTGCTACACTGATGAAGCAGTCTAATCACCACGTTTACATGGACGTAGCTTTCTCACTGCGAAGAGCGAGGCCTATTCACCTCTTCCGCTCTGACGCTGGCGAACGGCAACCGATTAGATTTGAAAGTGCCCCCGACAAGATCAGAAGGATCTATGATGGTGAGGCAGAGAGTTGAGATTCCCTGTAGTCCCCACCACCTGCGGTACCAGAAAAAAGACCTCTGGTCAGATCTCGTAACCGAGTTACTTCCAGTTCAGTCCCATGTGACCAGGGACTGATAACCCCTTGTGGCTAATATACACGTCTAGGCTGAAAGAACGTACTAAGACGCCCTAACCACACACTCATCTCACATTCATGCTCATACACACCGAGCAGACACATTCATACAACACCATTCACACTAGTGCCCGGCGACGGGCGAAAGCGCGACTAGCAAACTCTCCAAGGCTAGCACGCGTAGAGCTAGTGGAGAGAACACGACTAACATCCCATTGGCCCTCAACATTGGAGATACCCATGGAATCTAGATTCCGGAAGTCGTCGTAAAATGGACATGAGCACAATACATGTAGCCAGTCCTCGACTGGTGCCCCGCACCTACATGCTTCTGTGCCAGAGATGTTCCTTCTATACAAAAATGCATTTAAGGAACCATGTCCCGTCAACAAGTACCCCAAGTGAAGGCCAAAACCAAAATCGGGGTTCGTCTGAGCAAAAGTAACATCAGGATGAACCTGAAAGTTACTCTACCATTCTCACTTTCATTCCATCTAGATTGCCATCTAGATGAAAGAATTTCTCGCAGCCGCGATTTGCGATCCTGGACGCTCATTCTCTCCACACCGTCTACTGCCCAGTCAGAAGGCACAATAGGTAGACCCCTCTTGGCCAAGAAGGACACGTTTGCACGAATCACTTCAAGATCCAAAGGAGGAACCCCAGCAACACCTGCATGGCCTCAGTAGACACTGTGCGGCATACAGGTAAACAAGCCAACATCATTATTCGTTGGCATGAAAGTATCTTGCGACACCCCCAGCCTAACGCCGTCGTATACCATATGGGAGCGCCATAAGTAGCACAAGCTACGAAAAGACCCCCATACACAACACGCATTGCACGTCTACTGAGGCCCCATTCAGACCTCAACACACGACGAACTTGACCCACAATACTGCACATTTTCTCCTTTAAGCGATCTAGGTGGGGGATGAAATTCATCCTCTCGCCCATTGTGATGCCCAAGTATTTCAATTCGGTCTTATAATTAGACCTCGACCATCAAAAACAACACTGGGATGTCGATTACGCGACAAGCTGCCCTTTAGCAACATAGTCACGGTCTTCTCCCTGGCCACTTCTACACCAACTCGTAAGCCCAAGCACCGACAATCTCCATCAATTGTGAGCCAGACTGTTCCAACTCGGAACGAGACCTAGCCTCTACTAATATCAGGAGATCATCTGCGTACGCACATACCTTACAGGTGGAACTAAGCTACCGCAGTAATGGATCCACCAACCCTAACGACATCTATTGAAACACTATTCTGGCACCAACAGAGCACGCCACCCTGTCAGAGAAATAGCTTTTCCAGAGTTTTATCTCTCGACAACCAACTTCCTGCAAACAAGCAATTACACGCGACCAACACAAATGGTCAAAAGCACCCTTAAAGTCGACAAAAATACCCAAAACGTATTTGCTTGTAGATCCCTCGACGCATTGTTTGACATACAGCCAAGCGTCTTCAATACTACGACCTGGTTTGAAACCAAATTGAAACTCGGATTCTGTCTCAGCCAACCTCTCCTGTAATCTCTGCACCATTATCCTTTCCAATACTTTACCAAGCACTGGTAGGAGGCTGATGCCTCGATAAGATCGAGGATTACTCCTGACTTTATCGGGAGATTTCAGAAGGACGATGACTTTCGCAGCCTTCCACGACCTCGGAAAACACCTGAGCGAATACAATTACAGAGCAAAGTCTCCAGGTAGTCCGGAATGGCCTTCCAGATGCTTTTACACATCTCTCCGGTCAAACCATCCAAGCCTGGTGACTTCCTGCAGCGAACCAAGGCTACAGCCTGATCGATCTCATTTCTCTCCAATTCTGGAACAATAGCAGTCTCCTCCGTGGAGGAGGCAACCACAGGTCCACCCTTGGAAAGAAAGAAGCCATCAGGGCTGACACACACACTCTGTCCACGTGGTAAGGACTCTATCATCTACCTTAATGCCAGAAACATCAACCGATTTCTGGGATCTACAAATCTTATACAGCTGACCCCATGGGTCATCGCGGTTTCTCGCAACAAAAGACTGCCATTGACCATTTTTCGCACTAGCTATCATATCTTGATATTCATTCAGACACTGCCTATAGGCAGCCGAATGTACGCCAACGTCATCCGCGTTCCGTCGTTTGGCTCTCTGGAATTTTTCCTGAGACGCCTTACAACTTTACGCTTCTGACTCAGAGTTCTATTCCACCACCTCAACCTCCTAGAACTCGAACGGCCATATCTCTCAAAGGGAATATCATTACGCTAGTAACAGTGTTGGTTAACAATGCTACTTGCTCATCGACAGGAAGAGAAGAAAATTCTCGCAGCGAAATGTTCGAGAAGGCATTGACCAGTTGTTGCCCGTAAACGGACCAATCAACATTCGCCAAACGCCAACGAACAGAAGGATATCGCTAGAGCCATTACCGTACAGTAGGTATAAACCTCACTCGGCTGGTTTACACATGCATGGCCCTTGAAAGGAGCCACTCACTTAACATCTCCCCCTAGTGTAGTTCTGATAGCTCCGCGCTTGCCGAGTTATCTTACTGAACCACATGGGAGAAGATGCGTTCGCGTCCAAGCCGAGGATGACAGGATGGCTACTCACCTGTAGTAGCACCGCATCCATGTACCTAAGGTACGGCTCTAACGCTTCTTCGAACTTGCAATAGAGACTCGCAAGAAATAACACACCAAATTCACCACTCACAGACACATAAACACCAAAATCACTCGCATCCACAAGCACACAATCTACGTTACTATCGTCGAACCTACAGTTCAGCCGACGCATCGTAACACCCAAATCAGACATAACTGCGCTCGATCGTCTGCAATTAAGTTGGATGATTAAATCCATCTTAATGCTTAGATTTCGCCCTAGCCACCATCAAGCTATAATTGGGCAAGCCTCAGACATCATTAGATGTTCTGAGGGTTTACCCCTGAAAGCAAAATTACGGCAATTGAGTGCATTTTTGCACCTCTTTGCCGTATGCCCCTCCTCATCACACCTACGGCAAACTGCACGTGCAAAACGGCAGTGCTGGACCTTGTGTCGAAACTAAGGCAGCGATAACAATGAGGATAACATCTGCCCAATGGCAGATGCAGCCGAAACCGGCTCAAAACCACTACGGCGAGAGCGTCGGCTCTGCTTAACAGCCTCGTACAGCAACAACACCAGTGGCGACAACACCAGTAGCATTACTGCACCATCAGCACCCCCTTTGGGCCTTAACGGCAACTACGCTCTCTTCACCACTGGATTTACCTCTGGCACTCATGCCAGAAGCAGAGCCAGCGGTGCCAGCAACACATTTCCTCTTTGCACAAGAGGACTCACTCTCGTCACCAGACGGGTGGGAGTTGTACCACCTTCCGCCTTTTTGCGACTCCTACGAGTCGACGGTTTAGGCGGCATAGCGCTTACTTCTATCTAGCAGGTAAAACCACCAGATAAAAGCAAACGCCTGAAAATATGCTTCACAAACCACAAATAAATATGTGGTTTGTAACTACAATAAAATAAGTATAGGAAACTATACTAATTGCCACTATCCACCGATAGATGGCGCCAACTAAAATACCAACAGCGATCCACCAACAGATGGCGCTGAAAAACAAAACAAACTGCTGAAGTCAGATGAACACCAAAAGCACGTGGCTAGCGGAGCCCCCGTTTTGCAACAACAATTTGCAAGGCAATTATAAAAGGAAGTAAAACCACTAATGAACACTTTTATTCACTTTTCACACCGATTTTTCTACGAAAAATAGCACAAATCACTTTAACTTGCAGAGCTCTAACGATATGTGTGTATCGTTAATCCATTCATGCGCGTCACTAATTAGATGACGAGCATTTGGCTACCTTAAGAGAGTCATAGTTACTCCCGCCGTTTACCCGCGCTTACTTGAATTCTTCACTTTGACATTCAGAGCACTGGGCGAAAATCACATTGTGTCAACACCCGCTAGGGCCATCACAATGCTTTGTTTTAATTAGACATTCGGATTCCCCAAGTCCGTGCCAGTTCTGAATTGATTGTTAATTGATAGTCGTTATAATTTAAAGAGTACACACCTTGCGATGCAACCAATAAATTTTAGCAAGAAGTTCCACAATTGGTTACATAGCAAATATCCGAGGAACAAGATCCGGAGATCTCTATTTACCCAGAACGAGTACGTAAACCATGTTATTGCTTCCCAATCAAGCCCGACTATCTCAATCTTCAGAGCCAATCCTTATCCCGAAATTACGGATCTAATTTGCCGACTTCCCTTACCTACATTATTCTATCGACTAGAGACTCTTCACCTTGGGACCAGCTGCGGATATTGTGCGGCCTGTTGAGAAGTTTGTGCGTGACCCCACCATAAATTTTCAAGGTCTGAGGAGAAAATATCGACACAACAGTAAATGTCATGCTCTTCTAGTCCATCTACCATATCTCTCTTCGAAGATTTCAATGGTAGTACGACTATAAAACAGAAAAGAAAACTTTTCCAATACCTCTCGCGGCTTCTTTATTTTGTTGTTGCCAGGATGAGCACAAGGCCCATATTTAATAACAAACGGATACCCAACAGGTTACGGAATTGAACCGTATTCCCTTTCGTTCAAAATTATTCAAGTGTTTAATCACACAATTTTGCAATTGTCAATTATAACTTGAAAATTTTCAGCTTTCGCCTTGAACTTAGGACCGACTAACTCGTGATCAACCCTGTTCACACGAAACCCTTCTCCACTTCAGTCCTCCAAGGTCTCATTCGATTATTTGCTACTACCACCAAGATCTGTGCCAATGGCGGCTCCATGCAGGCTTACGCCAAACACTTCCAAGCACACCATTGTACCCTCCTCCTACTCAAAGTTTCAAAGTTTAAAATCCAACCGAAATTGAATATAAACCATTTACTTTAGCGGTAATGTATAGGTATACAACTTAAGCGCATCCATTTTAAGGGCTAGTTGCTTCGGCAGGTGAGTTGTTACACACTCCTTAGCGGATTACGACTCCATGTCCACCGTCCTGCTGTTTTAAAGCAACCAACGCCTTTCATGGTATCTGCATGAGTTGTCAATTTGGGCACCGTAACATTACGTTTGGTTCATCCCACAGCGCCAGTTTTGCTTACCAAAAGTGGCCCACTGGGCACATTATATCACAACCACACCTTCATACCAAGAAGGTGTGGTTCTTACCCATTTAAAGTTTGAGAATAGGTTAAGGTCGTTTCGACCCTAAGGCCTCTAATCATTCGCTTTACCAGATAAGATTATTTTACATAATTTTTAAATGCACCAGCTATCCTGAGGGAACTTCGGAGGGACCAGTTCGATTGGTCTTTCGCGCCCCTATACTCAATCCTGACAATCGATTTGCACGTCAGAACGGTTTCGGTCTTCCATCAGGGTTTCCCCTGACTTCAACCTGATCAAGTATAGTTCACCATCTTTCGGGTCACAGCATATATGCTCAAGGTACGCTGTGGTTAGAGGCATAAATAATATAAATATTATTATGCATAACTGATAGAACGCCCGGGATTGAATTTAGACTATAAATAGACTAAAAACTAATCCCATAAAAGTTATGTTAATTTCGCTATTAGGTTTAATTCCCAATAACTTGCAAATATGTTAGACTCCTTGGTCCGTGTTTCAAGACGGGTCCCGAAGGTATCCTGAATCTTTCGCATTGTAAATCATATAAGCGCATATAATAAACACAAAAATCAAGATTAATGTGCCATTATAGAATACAAGTATTCAAGCGCTGTATATAATAGATCTATCAACACTTTATCCAATCGACAGCACTTATTCTATGTTATTACGCAAGCATACTAATTTGAATAAACTTTCGCCATCGATCTTATGATAAATTGTGTATGTTATAGATTACAATGTCCTATATGGAAAAAATGCACGCCATTCTCACTATATTATTCATATAGCAATCGTAACGATGAATTTTCCATAATGGATATTCAGGTTCATCGGGCTGAACCTCTAAGTTTTCACGTACTTTTAACTCTCTATTCAGAGTTCTTTTCAACTTCCCTCACGGTACTTGTTTACTATCGGTCTCATGGTTATATTTAGTTTTAGATGGAGTTTACCACCCACTTAGTGCTGCACTATCAAGCACACGACTCTTTGGAAATGTTCTCTAGTAATCATTAACGTTATACGGGCCTGGCACCCTCTATGGGTAATGGCCTCATTTAAGAAGGACTTAAATCGTTATTTCTCATACTAGAAATTGAACACTTCATACACTGCATCTCACATTTGCTATAAAGACAAAGTGACTTAGTGCTGAACTCTTTCCTTTTTCGCTCGCCGCTACTAAGCATCCTTTGTTTCTTTTCTTCTTCCTCCTCTCTTATTATATGCTCAAAATTTAGGGGTAGTCCCATATGAGTTGAGGTTTATAAAACACATACTATTCAGTTATACATTAAATAGAACACCATCATTTTCAAATGAAAAAAATCTTTTCGGTATATGAAATTTTCATTTTCAATTTAAACGAGACAACTCTAGTTTCATAAAAAAAATCATTTTATGCTAGACCTTCCTCAATCGATTTACGAGCATTTTTCGATTTTGGTGAATTTTTTTTCCATTTTATAAATATTATTGAAAAATACGAAAAATATTTCTTAAAAATTACACATTGAAATTACCCAAGTTAATTCATTTTATTTGATAGCATTAATCAATAGCTATCATTTAAGCCGTTTTCTATACTTCTATTCTATGTGCATTTTTTTTCGATTTTTCATGAATATTTTTCGATCTTTTTAATATTTTCCAAAAATGGCATAAAAAATTCTTAAAAATCGTACATTGAACAATTGTAAAAATTTGTTCGGCATAATGTTGGCTACATAAAATAGCGATCATTATGCATCATTTCCTGGCAATTTCATGTAATTTTCAATTTATTATGAGTTTTTTCTGATTTTTTATATCAACAGTATTAAAGGCGAAAAAATTCATAAAAAATTTAAAATTCTTTTTATGTCTGATATGACTTTATCTTCAATATAGCTATTCGAAATAGATATTATGTTAGTCAATTCAGACATTTTT